ATCTTCTTAAATGCACTAGTTATCATTTCGGATCTTCCGGATAAAGATCAACTTTCGTTTAAACCCGTTCTAAAGTAGATTATTAGCAAATTCCTCTTTCCAGCTTTGGGACATTCTAACCAATACTAGTTTCCAAATTTATTTTGGTGATGTACTCATTATTTTGATGAGTATAGGCAATGAAGTATGAGTTGTTATACCTATGATTAGTATAAAATCTCCAAGGTATTGAGTATTTCCCCTAGAATTATGGAACCACCTCATAGAATTAGTTCCTTATTAGTCGTCCAAAACCATCCAAGCGGGCTCTAGTTTGTAATTAGCCTATGGTGACGCTACTAATTGACGATATTGTTCGATAACCAGGAACTGTCAACCAATATTCAAGCGGTATGATTTATGATACTGGACACAAGTGCTAGTGTCTAGGAGTGATACCTTTATACCAGAATGTCGGTTCATAGGTTTAGGGTAATGAACAATATCAAAATATCATAAATATGTTAATTAGCACGCGACTAATAGATTGATTAACAGTGACTGCTAGAGCCGAAAAAACTAAATCTCAGAAAGTTAGGAGCAAGCGTTGTATTAGGACAGAAAACTCATAGTTGTTTTTACCTTATCACCTAACTAGGTAAACATAACCTCTTTGATTAGCCACCTTTTCTATCACTTTTGTAGGTAGATAGTATAATTGAAGTACGAGTTAATTTCTCATTGTTAGAGTAAATGGAGTATCAAGGAAGCTATGGAGATCTATTAGCACGTGGAGGAGTGAAAGAAAGTAGTACGGTACAATTCGAGGTCGTACTTTTAGGCATCATATTCCAAAAATCTCACCTGGGATACCATCAAATGGTGAAACGAAGGACACCATCAATCCACTTTCTCGTACTATATCAGTTTTTTGTGTGACTTTTCGAACAAGTCCTACTTCATTTAGAGAACTTAGTTACGAAAGCTTATCGATTAGGAATTTATCCAATCAAACCCTTATCTAGGAGACCTTGAACCTATTTGCGAAGGTGAAAGGCCGAACCTTGGGATCATAACTAGATTTTAGCAACTAAATCAAGTGACAACGAAAAATAGTTAGCTTTATTTCGAATTGATGGTCTCTTCAACCAACTTCTTGAGTCTTGAGTTTTCTTTCATAGCTTGTTGAATTCATAGTAGTCTTACCGATGACTTTCTCATCCGCTTCAGTAATGAGACCAAATTCTCTAAATACTGACACTTAGCTTTATGCAAAATTTCTCGAACGTTAGTTTTGTTTAGATGGGTACTTTTCTTAGGAGACGTGATCTCAGTAAAGGATATTCTTTACTTTTTTTTCCAAAAGGTTGTAGCGGAAGAAAGTTGACATTCTCACAAAGTGTTGTGAGATTTGAGATATCCTTAGTTTTGTCGAATTATCGACAATTGATTAGCGATTTTTGGGCTATAATGTTTTTCCTCACATATCAACCAAGGAAAGTTAGTTTAGCTTGGGGTGTTGATTATGAATAAAATTTCTGACAACCGAATTGTTGTCTCAACCTACCTATGTGTTACACTTTTCGATGACATTGATCAATTGAAAATGCATGATGATATGTTCTCTAGATATTTCGACTGTGCTGAGGCATCATGATGGAGAATCGCTTATACTTTCCAACGGTTAAAACCGTTTGAAATGAACCATTCTATTCATGACTTAGAGTCAATTGTTATTATCTTCATTTGAAATATCGAATGACACTTCTCGGTGAGAAACATGTCGAGAACTTTTACCAACCTTAGATTTCTCAAATACATCTTCATTTGAGATAAGCTAAAATTTATGATAGCGACGATGGAAGAGCCAAATCAACGCCTATGAATGAAATATTGTGTATTACCCTGGTGGTGCAAACGTAGTTACTAAGCACCTTTAGCTTGTCCTATCCCACCTCAGTTGGAATTCACAAGTATTGTTTTGACGTTACTTGTGAGATATCAATAAATTGTTTGGATGGTTTTAATCACTTCCTGTATCTGTATCAGGATGAGAAATATCACCATAAGCTTCCAATACGAGGTATTTTGTACTTGTGGAGTTATGATGATGTTTCAGTGACCATCGACCGACGTGACAAGCTAGCTCATTTTCCGTTGATCTAGAGGGACTATGTTTATACCACTTGGTAAAATTCCTCATTCTTGAAATTATCAGATCTTTCTGGCATTTAGACCAGCGTCTATTCTAATTGTGATTCCATATTCACTTCTTTGTGCTGGAAGACATTCCAATCATCCTTAGATATGTGTCCACACCACTGCGCCTTGTATTATTTTTTTATGCAAACAAACTGTATAGAGAATCGCTTGACGCTTAAAATTTAGTGTGATCATTAATTCCTCAATCACCCAACGAATACTCTGCTGAACCCATCATTCCCGCTCATAGCGCATTCTTGCAAATTGTTTGCAAACACTGGATATTTCCTGAAAATGTAGAAAATATCGAGGAAATTGATTGATTTCTGGAAACATCGTGGATATGGGATGAAGTCTAAACTTCACTCCCTCTTTCCATATCGTTTCCTAAATTTTTGGATATTTCTATGGAAATATTGATCATATCGATGATATTTCAAACACTGGATAAAAGTTAGAGTTGCAAACCAAATCAAATAGAAGTTAACGACTTCAAGTTGCAAACTAAATGATATGTGTATAATTACATATAACATAAATATTTGATACTGTACAATAATACCATTGGTATTGATTTTAGGTACCAATATCATATCAAAGTTCTTCAGTTCGATACAATTACAGTACCATTACTGGCTAATACCAAATTATTATGGTAATAGTATTGTACGGTAGAATGACAAAATTTTCTTCTTAGTTGAGATTGGTTGGATTGCCAGATTGGCAGTGTTTCAGTTGTATTCCATAAAATGAAAGGACGAGATTCGGACTTTTTTTTATTTTTTATTTTTTATTTTTTTGAAAAAACGATATTGTCTACACTAAAAGGTGAAGTAGTGATTTAAGTCTCACAATGAGTGAACCATAATAATGTGGTCCAAATTCGTTTTTGACAAGAATCGAACTAAACCCTCTTATTTACAAATAAAGAGCGATATCATTAGACGGTAATACCCAATGCAGATCCGGACTTATCTTAGAGAGAATAAATTAGTTGTTATACTTTATCTTGTTGTCCTTTTATTCGAATTTTCTAGACTTATGGGTTTATTCCTTTTAATGAAAAAGTAGACAAGGAATAATAAGTTGACATTATTCTCCCAAATGCAGGCAAACCCAAAAGTACCCAGTCAGGGTTGTTAATTAGTGATTTTTAACTGTTTATAGGGTAAAGCAATAGTGTAGCTAAAACAGATTAGGCCATTTGGCCTAATTGCTGACCCAAAAATGGAAAATTCAGAAATGATGAAGGGCATATCTGCAGGAGGACATATCATGAGCCAACCTAGCCTTCCTTTATTCAGTAATTCTGTTCCAGCTCCTTTTCTCCTTGGAATGATAGAGGCCAATGATCCTCAATATCTTTCTGTTATTTAATGTGAGAACGGTCTCACTGAAGTTATTTTTTTTTAGTTCAGGACACAAAAACGTGACTATTTTTTTGGAGAGATGGCGGATGCAAGAAGGTGGAAATTGAATCGGATGCCCAGCCTATACTATGGAAGGTTTTCTCTTTGATATTGAATCATTGGCTACGCAAATAGGAGACGTAAAGTCTGAGTTTGTGCTGCAGGGTGGCAATCTTCCTGCCCATGTGGTTGTCTTGTTTGTTGCCTTGCATGGTGGTTCATTCGTTTGGGATGCGATAGGCTGGGACTTTTTCATTAATATTCTTGCTGCAGATGTAAACAGTGTAATTAGATTATAATAAAGTTTATCTTTTTAACAAAAAATAATAATAATTTGATGAATGACTGTTGAGTTAAACTAAACTTAAAAAAAATAGTAAGATACAAATAACATGTCCAATTTTATTGATGCGGTGGTGTGTAAACAGCCTCTTTAATTAGTAGAATTATTCCAAATTCTGCTGATTTTATCTTTTTACCTAAACCAGTCTTATCCCCACTTAAGAAAACACAGCCAGTTGGTATGTTTATCTAGCAGGACAAACAGTCACTCTATCAAGAAAAATAATAGAGAGAAACTCATAGACATGATATAATGAAGGGAGCCCATATTGATGGCCCCATTTTTATGGGTGGTGTAAATTGTTTTTCGGCGATAGAAGTGAATGAAAATGATGTAACTACTCATTAACTTCTCTTACTAAAAATGAGGGTTAGAGACTTTTCTTTTGGGTTTGGTTGAGTAAGCTCATCGAGTTTCACAGTGCTCCCAAGTATTAGATAGATATAGAAGTTTTGAGAACTAAGGAAATTTTGCAGAATTAAAATCTACTGTGTGTTTATTTTACTTACTGTAGAGTAATAAATAATTCAAAAATTTTGGAGTTGATATGTGGCCTTTTAGCAACGACTTACAAGAATGCTTTAATTAAATTGGCAAGATTCACATCTATGAGGTGCTGAATACAATTTCACTAACCTATCGTGCTCATAGCAAGGAGAAAAGTCAATTGTATTAAAGATATGTGTAATAATCAAATCCTATCTTTATGCTTTCCTAATTGAAGACCAATTTAATCAAGCTAGTAATCACAATCAAATCCAATTTGGGATTCTACAAGATAATGTCAAGATATTATTTATTCAATAATATCTTTGGGATAATTATTTCTTACTCCATTCGGATTAGGGTTGGGCACGGGCCGGGCCGGGCATTACAATTTTGAAAATAGGAACCGGACCTTACCCGGCCAGGTTGAAACTGGCCTGTTCGGTCCGGGTACACGGGTCCTTTTTTTTTTTTTTTTTTGCTGTTTAAAAATGTTTGTTGCACAGATTGCAGTTTGTAAAAACTGCACAGATTCTAGTTTACAGTTAGATTCCAGTATTACAAACAATACGACATGCACGCAAATACAATGAAGGTATGAATTACATGAATTAACGACACCAAAAGGAACCTAAGAAAATGTAGAAACTCAAAAACACTCCAGATGAATCATGATGGCAAGCATGGCAGTGAAAGTTTCTATAAGATATAAAGTACAATGGCCTAAACAGGGTAGACGAACATAATGATTATGCCAACAGAGTTCGATATTCCACCAGCTTTGGTGAAAGCATCTCTGAACCCACCAGCTGCCCGGATGTGTTCTTGCAGCAAATAACCGGCGATGAGAAGGCATATTACAACACCAATCCAGTCGCCTCTCACAGTGTTCGCAAATAAACTAGGAGCAACCACTATAAGAAGAATCAATGATGTGGGCAATTCCAGCTACTCTGGAGGTTATAATCATAGTTAATGACCACAAGCAGTAAACAGAAGGTGATTAGGATAAAGTAAGCAACAAATTCTAGGTCATAAACTTGGAAGCATAGACATGTTCGATCAGCAGTGGGCATAAATACTCTATTTTACCTGGGAAACGTTTAGGGAAGAAAAGTTGTAAGACAACACCAACAAGAGCAATCCGTTTTCCAATCTCTCCCCTGGAAAAATAAAGATTTTTAGGGAATAGAACGAACCAAAAACACCGACAACAGGAAATATATGTGGAAAATAACTTGAAGATGTTGAACAATATTGAAGGAAGGGTAAAGAAAATGTAGGGGATCAATGGCCCTGTAAGAATGTTCGATTTCCAGTTTGTTCAATCCAAGATCAACAGATAGCTACAGTCAACACAGAAACAAATAGGTGAGGTTTATATATTTTCCCAAATCAGTACAAGTGAAATTAAAATATCACACAAAGCACAATTAAGAACATAAAAACAAAACCAAACTAACATAATTTACATTAAAAAACTTGAAAAATTGAATCATAAAATAACAGAAAAACAGTGATCTAAACTATTGAAAACCAACGAAAAAAGTCCAATACAAGATCTGAAAAACTGCATCTCCAAAAAATAACAATAACTCAGAAAAATATCAGTTACCATGAATTTAAGACCTTTGCTAAACCTTTGCTAAAAATCGTAAGAGGGTTCTTAGCAGTTAAGCTTTTATGTGCCATCTTAAATAATTTCTTAAAGAAAACACTCCATCTGAAAAAAATCAAAAGAGGGATATTTTTTACAGCTCAATCATCAATCTACAAATTCTACTTCTCCCAGTTCATATTCCAGATCCTGAAACATTTTTACATCTCAATCATCAATCTACAAATTCTAACTTAAAACCCCTAAAAATCCCTACACCAGAAATTCACATTAATAATAAAACCTAATTCAAAATTACTTAAATTTTAGAGGGATGATGATTGGTACTGATAGTAGCAGTGTCCTCGACGGTGGTGATGGGGTGATGATGGTGGTCGCAATGGCGGAGGTGGTGCCGTTGTGTTGGTCGCGACAGCGCTGTGAGAGTCTGAGAGTTGAAGCTCGAAGGTGGTGATGGGGTGAGTGATGGTGGTCACGACAACGGAGTTGGTGGTGCTGTTGTGTTGGTCCCGACGGTGGTGACCACTGCGAGTCGAGGGAAGGGATAGAGAGAGGGAGTCGAGGGAGAGTCTGAGAATCTGAGAGATTGAATGTCTGAAGGTGCTTCTGGAACTCGGGAGGTGGAATTGGCTAGGGTTGAAACAAACAGTTGAGATTGGCTAGGGATGATATCTTAAAACTCGTCCGTCCATTGTAACACAAACGGGCCGGTCCGGGTACCCGCAGTTCCTATACTTTGGGAACTGGCCCGAATCGAAAACTTCAATTACCCGGCCCGCCTCGCCCCGATCTGTTTTTACAAAATTAAGAAGCAGCTCGTACCCGCCCCGTACCCGCATTACCCGCCCCGACCCGTGGGTCCAAGACCCGTTTGCCCAACCCTAATTCGGATGACACACCTTGACCATCTAGATGACAACAGATGGCATGGATTCCCTATTAATACCCCTTCTTTGCCAATTTTTGGTAAACTTTTTCTACGCAATTAAGTCAACTCTTTCTCTCTCTAAAAAAAACTTACTTAGGCAACATATATTCATTGGCCATAGGCAACAGATATTCATTGGCCAAACACACCCCCTCCCCACTCTTTGGGTGCGTGACTTTAGTCTTTCATCAAGTGTTTAATTGTATTATAAGTATAAATTCGTTAAGATTGAAGATGCCAAATTTAATTGGTATTCAATTTCTTCTGTCGGTGGATTACATATTAGAATAAATATAAGCAACTAAGCACTTTTGATAAAAAGTCACATGGCAGCAGAAGTAAAAAATAAGCACTTTGGCCCGCACACCGAAACAGTATTCCTACTAAAGATTCCTTCAAAGACCAGCCATAGATAATGATCCCTTCTGATAGGGATGCTATAATTTGGAATTGTTGAAATGGAAAACACCTTCAGTTGGGTAACTTGCAGATAAAGTAATGGAAATTTGGTATTACGGCCAAACAACAAACCATTTTCAAGATGTTTTTTTGGGTCCAAAATTCTTATGACTGAGATTCCCATGTGTTGTAAACACCAAAATAAACTGCATTTTATAATTCTTGTGGACAAGATTTGTGTTGTCGTGACAGATTTGGCAAATTTGGCCACCTGAGAGGTGGAGCCCTGATTCCTCAGTTTCTTCATGATTCCTTTTCGAAAACAATTTATTCATATGAGAAATGATAAACATACTTCTGTTTAGTTATATTTGTTGTTATTGTTTGATTTATTCAATCTAACGGTTAGAAATAAAAATGTGTAGAGAAACTAAAAATGGTGTGTAAAAATTACCTTCTATTTATCATCATCCAAAAAGTTTATAACTAAAGTGGCCAATAATTATACTTTTGCATCTAGGTTTTTGTGGAGCCAAAAATATTCACTAGGCGACACGTGGACTTTTGAACGAAAGAGGACAAAAATACCCTTGAGGCATACCGGGATTCCTACGCGCAAGTAGTGGGTAATCATCCTCAACCAATTCAAAAATGCTCCAGAAGAGGTAACCAATTCCAAATTATCTTATTTTAGGTAATTATTTCCAAAACTTAATTTCCCTAATATATTATTTAGATTATATTAGGGAAATTAAGTTTTGGAAATAATTACCTAAAATAAGATAATTTGGAATTGGTTACCTCTTCTGGAGCATTTTTGAATTGGTTGAGGATGATTACCCACTACTTGCGCGTAGGAATCCCGGTATGCCTCAAGGGTATTTTTGTCCTCTTTCGTTCAAAAGTCCACGTGTCGCCTAGTGAATATTTTTGGCTCCACAAATGCCCCCACACCTGTTGAGCTGTTTGCAAAAAAGGGCAATAGGTGTAGAGATTTTCTTGCTTTAGGAAACTCTGAACTGCTTCCTATTTTGTTGTTGATTCTCTCTTTCAATAGGAAATTAAATCCTTCTAGGAAAAGGAAATAAATTTCCCCAAAGCTTATTTAAGTCCACCTTAAGTGGATTGTTAAATCAACTTTTAGAGAGAAACTTATTCATCCTTACAAGAGAAAAAGAGAGCTTAGAGGATATTTGTTCCCCCTCCTCTAGCAATCTTCTACATCTTGCCCGTGTAAAGGATCGCTCTTCGTTGCTTCCAGGTAAGAAAAAATTGATTTTCTTGTCTTCTTGATTTTTTATTTTGGTTTTTCTTGCTGGGCGATGGTGAATGGATGATTAGCCAAGCCGTGGGGCTTGGCAATTTGGCTGGTTCTGCTTTCAACTCTTTTTTTTTTTTTTTTTTTTTTTTGCCGGGGGCTGTTTTTTTTTTTTTTTTTTTTTTTTTTTTTTTTTTTTTTTTTGAAAACAACTCTCTAACAAATCTTCCTTGAATTTTCAAGCATGTCTTCCTCGAGCCGCAAGAATGATGATGGTGTGCCCCCGTTGTATTGTCAAGGCAGGTCTTTGAGCAAGATTGGCTACTTCAAAGCTGCTCACCTCAAGATTAGCTCCGACAATTTGTTTAGAGATTTTCTTGAAACGTATTGGCATGCCATTCCGTCGGGAGTGCGTGTGAGGCGAGTTAAGGATGGTAGCAACCGGGAACCATGTAGTGGAACTCGGAGAGCTATCAAGTTCCATCCTTACTATTTTGTGTTAGGGTTTACTTTCCCTATGCCGCGTTTCTTCCAAGAAGTGATTTGCTCTATGAAATGTGCGCCTGCCCAATGTTCCCCGAATGCGGTCCGAGTGATGGTGGGGTTCCACAATTTGAACCAATTCTTTGACTTGGGACTAACCACCAACGAATTTTGGTATTTCTTTGACATAGGTCGTATTGATGGAGTTGGACAACTGCGAATTCGTCATAAGCTTTTTGATAATTCGAGCAAAGGAGATCATGATTGGGCCAAAGAGACTTTGGAGATAAGTGGAAAATGGGAATCTGATTCTTCTCCCGAGCTGCGTGTATCAACGGTCTTCATATCTGGTAAGCAGACTGCCTAGTCTTTTCGGCTGCTTTGCTTTAGTGCCAAATTATTCTTCAATTTTCTGATTGCCTTCCGTTTTTTTTTTTTTTTTTTTTTTTTTGTAGATTCGGAATTTGGCTCAACTCCTAGGGTTTCTCCAGACATGAAAAAAGTACATGTCGCTCTGGGTATCCCTTCCGAGTATCGTGAGTGGCGTTGGCTGCTTAGTCCTCTTCGTAAGGAAAAATGTGGACTGCCCCCAGAATAAGAAATAGAACGGATCAAGGCAGATGCGATGGCTCGTCCTATCACTGTGATGGAGCCTACTATCAATGAAGGTGGGAAAAAGAAACATTCCCCGCCTACTTAAGAGATGCCTGCTGAGAAGAAAACGAAGACTGCTCGTGGGGATTCTCCGGCTGCTCCCAAGATTGTGATTGACCTGACTTCCTCTAAGGGCGAGAAAGAACGAACTGCTACATTTGTGCCGGTAACGCCTATTGCTTCGAAGGCTGCTAGCTCGATTGCTGAAAAAATTGCTCAGCGTAAAAGTTCTTCCGTGCCTTTGGTACCGAAGTTTGTGCCGAAGCATCCGTCCGGGACTAAACCTGGCTTACCCTTGAAGAGGCTTGCTACTATGAAGAGTGATAAGGTGCCCCTATCTGCTAAAGTGGCGCCAAAAACTGCTTCCTCCGCTGCTGCAACCAACTCGTCTGCTAATAAGAATGAAGCTGCTCGCTCAGGCAGGCTTGAAGAATCCGCTAAGTCCGTTTCTGGGGAGGCTGCTAAGATTTGTGTGCTTTTGAAACCAGATCTTCTTGAAGACATGGATGTATGTGCCCAGTTTGTTGATGGCGTCAAAGAGATTGTTGGTCCGAGTTTTTTTGCAAAGCACACACCCGAGTATAGGAAGACTGCTCTGCTAGCCATGATGCAGAAAACAACAATTCTGGCAGCCGAGTCTATGTTCCTTGACCAAGAGGACACCAAGGCTGCTAAAGAGATGGCAAAAACTATGGCTGCCGAAGCTTATTCCTCGACCGAAAAAATCAAGAAATTGGAATCTGAGCTTGCTGCTTTGAAGGAATCTAATACTTCTGCCCCCACTTCTCTGCAGCTTGAAGCCGCTCACCAGGAGATCATGGATTTGAAGACTAGGCTTGATGCGATCCAAATAAAGAATGAAAGTGTAGAGAAGGAAATCGAGCGTTACATACCTCAGATTCAAGATCTTGAGCGTTCCATATCTGAATTTCGCTCCGCTGCTTATGCAAAGGATGAAGAATTGATTGCTACTTACAACCAAGCGATCCACTTCAAAAAGGTTGTTGACAGGCTTGAGCCTCAAGTGTCGGAACTTCAAAGTGTTTGAAGACCAACGAAAATCTGAAGAAAGAAATTGAAGAGTTGCAGCGGGTTCGTGCTTGCCTGCTTGAGGAGAATGAGCAGTTGAAGAGTGAGAAAGATGGTTTCGAGGCTTCGCTTATTCAGAACCAAACCGATTTCTACAAGATGGGCTATGTAGATCATCTCTATGGGCGGCCATCTGACTTTGAGTTTTCCGGTAAAGACTTCGAAACCTTCTCTATTTCTCCAGAAGACTTGCTCGATTTTACCTTTGAGTCTTCTATCGGTGAAATAGTTGGAGGAGTTGATACCCAGGCTGGAGCAGTCGAGGGTAAAGATTCGGAGGATGCCGCTGCTGAAAACACCAAGGCTGCTGAAGGTGTAACGACCGAGCAGTTGGGAGATATCCAAACTACTGAAGAGTAGTCTTCTAGGTAGCTTTTAGGATTTCCTTTTCTTTCCTTTGTTGCTTTTGCTTGAACTCTTTCGATATTTGCTTGTTGTTTATCAATTTTGCTATAAAATTTAATAAACTTGCTTCTTTTGCTTTTCCCATCCTTGCTCTTTTTTTTTTTTTTTTTTTTTTTTTTTTAACCTTTAGTCCTTATAGGCCAGTGGCAGGCGCGCTACTTTTCTATAAGCAGACAAGCCCACATAGCCTATGCAGCCGTAAGTGTTGATGTAGAACTTTTGCAAAGTTGTTAACCATTGGGTTAGCAGCCGGATGCCTTACTTACAGAAGCAGACGAATCCGCGTAACCACTTGGCTATTCAACCTTGGCTCTTTCCAATTCTGTAGGCTGTGTAGCAAGTATCACAACACTTTAGGACTTGGTGTAGGTTATTCTGCGTTTGGCAGAGGTGAAGTTTATCGACTACGTAGCATGTCGGTAGTGGATAAAATCTTCGCGTGTGCACGCTAACTTGTTTAACCTTTCACAAGAATGTGCGGTTGCATAAGTCTAGCGTGGTTCTACTGCTCGAAAGGCAAGCCGTAGGCAGTCATCTGGAAATCCGTAGGCTACCTTAGTGCACTCGGTAGCAGCTTTAGGTTTCCAGGGCAGCCGCTCATTGGGTGTGCTGCATAATGTGCCCCCTCCGTCTCTAGGGCCCGGTTCCCTGCGGATTAAGCCGATAGACCCATAATCCTTCAACTAGCTAAGCCTTGAAACAGACCATTGTGGCTACTTCTAGGAATCCCGGCGCAAGCCATCATGCACCTAGTTATTCTAGGGCAGCCAAGCTCATCCACGTCTGGATATTCGGAGTGTTGAGTTTATCATCCCGCCTTGGAGAGCACAGTTAGTCCCTTGGGGGGTGTAATCCTCTTTTGAAGTGCAGAAAGAAATAAGTTGTTGTAGACATATATTAAAGCCAAGTTACAAATTACTTTTGAATTCTTTATTGAAAAATAAAATGAGCAAATAACTTGGTTGCAAAACTGCATGATGATTGGATAATCCTCGGTTTATGAGGTGGTGCCCATTGAGCTGCTCGAGTCTTCGGGTCTTGATATAGTGTGAAATCACACATGGTATTTCCTCAAATTGTAGGCGTTCCATTGCTTCTCCATCTCTTTATCATTCATGGTAGCAAGAGTATAACTGCCTTTGCCGCCAACTCTGCTGATCTTGTAAGGACCTTCCCAGATGGGGTCTATTTTTTTCGAGCCTTCTCTGCGGGCAGTGATGAAAGCTTTTCTTAGGACTAGGTCTCCGGGTTGGAACTGCCGGATCTTGGCCCTTTTGTTGTAGCTGGAAATGAGCTGCTGTTGGTAGGCTGCGATGCGGGTGATGGTTTGTTTGCGTCTCTCTTCTGCCAGATCTAAATCTGTGGCCATCTCTTTACTGTTCTGCTCAACGCTTGGCAATAGAGTGTTGATGCTTGGCACGATGATGTTGGGATGTATGATTGCTTCTGAACCAAACGCCAAAGAGAAAGGAGTTTCACCGGTTGCTCGTCTTTTGGTGGTGCGATATGCCCATAAACATCCTGGGAGCTCATCTGGCCATTTTCCCTTTTTGTCGGTGAGGGATTTCTTAAGGCAGTCGAGGATCGTCTTGTTTGATGCTTCAGCCTGCCCATTGCCTTGAGGATATCTTGGTGTGGACATGTGTTGTTTGATGCCGTATTTTTGGAAGAACTTTGCCAAATCTTTTCCCACAAATTGAGGACCGTTGTCAGTAACGATGGACTGAGGGATGCCAAATCGACAAATGATGTTCCTCTATATAAAGCGTTCTATGTCCATCTGAGTCGTGGTTGTCATGGGTTCTGCTTCTACCCATTTGGTGAAATAGTCGGTTGCCACGATCATCATGCATCTGCCCCCTGTAGCAGGCGGCATAGGCCCTACCAGGTCGATTGCCCATTGCATGAATGGCCAAGGACTCGTTTGCGGGTGTAGCTCACTGGCGGGTAGTGCTGGTACTGGTTTGTAGCGTTGGCAGCGGTCGCACTTTTGCACTAACTCCTTAGCATCTTGGTGCATGGTAGGCCAGTAATAGCCTGCATTAAGAGCCTTTTGGGGCTAAGGATCGACCTCCAGAGTGATTCCCACAAACGCCTTCATGGATTGAGCTTAGAACCTTCAAGTCATCGGGAGGTGCTAGGCAGCGGAGATGTGGTTCGGTGTAGGATCTTCGGACGAGAATGCCATTCCACATATAGTAACGTGCCGACTTAATTTGGAGCTTCCTTAACTCCAATCTTTCTGTGGGTAATGTGCCGTTGACCAAGTAGTCTATAATTGAACTTTGCCAAGTGGGAGTTACACTAACCTGTGACACTTCAGCTATCGACTCCATCTCTATGCTTGGCTTGTCTAGATATTCCACCGGAATTGAGCGTTTGAATTGGTGGTCAAGGGCGGAGCCTAAACCAGCTAGTGCATCTGCATGTGCATTGTCTGCCCACGGAACTTGAGTGAGAGTGTAAGTCTGAAATGCTTCAAGCTGCTGGCGTACTTTCTCTAGGTATTGTGCCATCCTTGGGTGTTTTGCCGTGTATTCCCCAGTAGCCTGGCTGGTGATTAGTTGGGAATCAGAATGAATTGCGAGTTTCTTCACCGCCAAGTCTTTTGCCATTCGGAGGCCTGCTAGTAAAGCCTCGTACTCTGCTTCGTTATTGGATGCTTTAAAACCTAGAGTGATCGCCTGCTTGAGCATTGAGCCATCTGGAGTAACAAGAACTACACCTGCTCCCGAGCCTTTATAGTTGGATGCACCGTCGACATGCAAGTTCCAGAAATCTTTATTGGATGGAGTAAGTGTGGCTAAGGTACTCTCGGCTGCTTCTGGGGCGTCGTTGGGCCGCACTGTTGCGTTGCCTAGGCTAGGTGTGAATTCTACCACGAAGTCTGCCAAGGCTTGGGCCTTTATCGCTGTGCGAGGTCGAAAAATTAAACCATATTGGCCAAGTTCCAATGCCCATTTCATCACTCGTTGAGAAGCGTCCGGACCATGTAATATTGATCGTAAGGGATATTGAGTCATAACAATGACCGTATGAGCTTGAAAGTATGGTCTGAGCTTTCGAGCCGCAACAACTAACGCCAAAATTAATTTTTCGATCTTCGGATATCTTGTTTCCGCATCGAGAAGAGCTTTAGAAATGTAGAATACCGGCAGTTGGGCCCCCAGCTCTTCTCGTATGAGAGCAGAGCTCACTGCTACCTCGGAAACTGCCAAATAAATGTACAAATCCTCCGCTGCTTCCGGCTTGGATAGTAAGGGAGGTGATGTGAGATAATTCTTCAAGTCTTGGAAAGCTTTTTCGCATTCTTCATCCCATTTGTCTTTTTGTGCCCTCTTGATAGCTTTGAAAAAGGGTTTGCATCGATCGGTGGATCGTGAGAGGAAGCGATTGAGGGCGACTGCTCGTCCGGTCAAGCTTTGGATCTCCTTCAAGGTAGTTGGAGATTTCATCTCTATGATTGCTTGGATTTGCTTGGGATGTGATTCAATTCCTCGTTGGGTTACTAAGTACCCTAGGAATCGGCCTGAAGATACTCCAAACGTGCACTTGGTGGGGTTGAGCTTCATCTTGTACCTTCTAAGGATATTGAAAGTTTCTGCTAAATTACGAATGTGATCTGATCGCTGCTTGCCCTTTACCATGATATAGTCAACATAGACCTCCATGGTTACCCCAATTTGCTTTTTGAACATCATATTTACTAGCCTTTGGTAAGTGGCTCCCGCGTTCTTGAGGCCAAAGGGCATGACCTTGTAGCAGTAAGTGCCTCGCTCTATCACGAACGCAGTTTTCTCCTTGTCGGGCTCATGCATGGCTATCTGGTTGTAGCCGGAGTACGCGTCTAAGAAACTAAGCAACTGGTTTCCAGAAGTTGAATCTACTAATAGATCAATCCGAGGGACAGGATAATGGTCTTTTGGGCATGCTTTGTTGAGGTCGGTGTAGTCTACGCAAACCCTCCATTTGCCCTTCGCTTTCTTCATGACTAGTACGACATTAGCAAGCCATGCCGAGTGTGCTACCTCTTCTATGAAACCGGCCTCCAATAGTTTGTCGATTTCTGCCTCGATGATCGCTACTCGTTCGGGAGCGAAATGTCTTCTTTTTTGAATTACCGGTTTGGCAGTTGGATCGACGTGCAGCTTGTGGCAGGCCACCTTGGGGTCAATACCGGGCATGTCGGATGGTGACCATGCGAAGATATCTCGATTTTTCCTAAGGAAAATTATGAGTTATTCCTTCTCGTCTGGGCTTAGTCGTGAGCCAATTTTAGCCGTCTTTTCCGGCTGCTGGGGATCAAGAATGATGTCTTCGGCGTCCTCTTCGGGTTTCCATCCTATCTTGTATGCTTGGGCGCCATCTTCTCGATCCACCTGCTGTAATTGCTATTTGGCAATTTCTTTGCCTTTTTGGACTTTGGTAACCTCTACGGGGGTAAAGGTCTTCTTCTTTGTTTCTTTCAACATTTGCACAGTGCATCGTCGGGGTGAAACCTGGTCAGACTTGATCTCTCCGACTCCTCCTCCTGGGATGCGGAATCGGATTTTTTGATACTTGACGGAAGTGACAGCATCCAGCTTGATCAACCAAGGTCTCCCAAGAATCCCATTGTAGGGAGACGGGTCACTTACAATCGTGAATGTTTGCTTTGAGACGACTGGCGATGTTTTTATGTCAAGTGTGATATGGCCTATGGCAGTTGAGGTGTGTCCGTTGAATCCAGTAAGTACCTCTGCCCGACGTATGATTGTACTTTCCAGGCCCATCTTCTGAATGACTGAAAGTTGAAGTAGGTTGACCGCACTTCCATTGTCAACCATCATCCTGTCGACTATAGCATGGGCTAGTTGGACAGATACTACTAATGCATCGTTGTGTGGAAAGTCGACTCCTTCCGCATCCTGCTCCGTGAAGCTAATGATAGGTCCAGGTTGGGTATCAACTGCTTGAACTTGTGAGATTAGTAAAGCCTGCTGGATCTTCCTCTTTTTGGAATTATTAGTGGCCCCCAAGTGCTCGGATTCAGCGAAAATGCCATTGATTCGAATCATCTTAGTTGGTGGCTCCTCATCTCCGTCTGCATTCTTTTTTGGCTGCTCAGTTGGCTTGTCCAAATATCTATCGACTTTGCCTTCTTTCACGAGTTTCTCTAGGTAGTTCTTCCAAGTGTAGCAGTCGTTGGTTGTGTGACCAGGACCTCGGTGGAATGCGCAATACTTGGTGTGGTCCAACTTGGAAGTATCTCCTTTTGACTGTTTCGGCAACTTGAACCATGGTTCATTCTTGATGTCACGAAGGATTTGATGAATCGGAATTGAGAACTTAGAATAGTTATTGGTCATCAGGCCTTCTTTGGTCGTGGGTCGGTCCCTGCGCTTGAACTCCTGTCTGCCCTTGTTGGGTTGTTTTTCATCTTTCTTTTGAGCAGCTGCCAACTCTTTTTGAGGCTGTTCAGGAGCCTTTTCTGTTTGTCGAGCCTCGTCCCAAAGCGCATTCTTTTCGGCCAGAGCAAAGGAATCTGCTAGAGTTAGGTCTTCTTTCATGATCATTTCTCCAAACAGTGGGTGGTCTGCTGGTAGTCCTTTTTGGAAGGCTGCACTTGCTATCGAGTTGTCGCATTCGACGATTTTCGCCTTCTCTGCTTTGAATCTCTTCACGTAATCGCGAAGCGACTCTTTTGGGTTTTTCTTTACGTTGAACAGGTGATCAGACTTCTTCTTGATCGATCGATAAGATGAGTATTCTTTGGTGAAAACCAAGGAAAGATCATCAAAATTCTGGATAGATCATGCCGGCAAGGTATGAAACCAATCTTGTGCCTCGCCTTGTAAAGTAGTGGCGAATATTTTGCACATAAGGGCGTCATTATTCCGATAAAGGACCATCGCACTTCGGTAATGCTTCAAGTGTCTTTCGGGATCCCCGTCTCCTTTGAAAGATGTGAAGTGCGGCATGCTAAACTTGCGCGGAGGCTCTGCCTGCTCGATCTCATCCGCGAAAGGTGACCTGCTTATGTTGGTCATATCTCGCCTTAGTGCCTCATCAACCATTTCGTTGCGCCGAAAATCACGCATCCGTTCATTGAAAAGCCTTTCTACCTCTTCTTGGATTTGCTTTTGTTGGGGTAGCGGAGCCTTTGGCTGCCCTTGGTCTTTTTCTACCGGTCTAGGCTGTTCTTCTTCTCGCTCGGCTCGTCTACGCTGTGGCTGCAATGGATGAGATAGATTCCTAACAGGCGAGGGATTTCTTTGCAGGCTACCGGTTGAACTAGAGCCAGATTGAATGATTGTTTCCTTCCGTTTGTCAGGCTGTCTGCTCCGATGTGATGTGGAGAATACTCCTTGTGAGCCTAATGGTGAATGAATGTTCTGCCTGGAAGGCTGCCCATGTTGATTATCAAAGCGTGGCCCCAACCGTGAATGTATACTTGCCCGTGGGCCTAACCGAGAATGAACGCTCCTCCGCGCGCTAAGACGGGAGTATACGCTATTTCGGGGGCCCAATCGAGAGTGTGCACTGTCTGAATGCTCAACTTGTGATGGGTTGAATGGCTGCTTTCCAGGACGCTGCTTAAAAGGCTCATTGTCTACCTTTGTTCTACTTTGGGAAACTTCATCGTGGGCGCGTTGCATCTCAGCGCGTTGTAAAAGTTGATTCACCAAGGTAGTTTGTTGTGCAAGGGCGCTCGTCAATTCTATGACTTGTCGGGACAAGTTTTGTTCGCCATTCGAATTAGAAGAACTTGGATGGAATGCACCTCCTTGAACAATAAAAGGGTGGTTGACTCCAAGTGCGAGATTTGAGTTGGGGAATGTCAAATTTGCAGAGAAATGTGGTGAAAACGCCTCAGCCTCGATGATTGGTCCGGATGGTTGAAATTGTCTCGGGCCGACTTGGGTAGCTTGGGAAACCATGAGAGCAGGTTGGGCTGCGGGGGCAGGCTGGATCACTGGGGCAGGCTGGATCGTTGGAGCAGGCTGGGCTACAAGAGCAGGCTGGATCACGGGAGCAGGCTGCTCAATGCGCGGTGCACGTGAATGCGAGGCTTGGGCTTGGGTCCACGTAAACTTGGATGGCACGGCTCAGGCCGTGGTGAAGGCTCCATGGACCTCGCCTCGAGTGGCTACCGAAGTAGCCACCATGGTGGTTACCGAAGTAGCCACCGTGGTGGTTCCCATGGTGGCTGTGGTGAAGGCCCCATGGACCTCGCCACGAGCGGCTACCGAAGTAGCCACCGCGGTGGTTCCCATGGTGGCTGTGGTGAAGGCCCCATGACCGAAGTAGCCACCGCGGTGGTTCCCATGGTGGCTGTGGTGAAGGCACCATGGACCTCGCCGCGGTTGGCTACCGAGGTAGCCACCACGGTGGTTCCCATGGTGGAAGCTCGTGGTGATGATGCCGCTCCCCTTATTGTCGCATTTTGCTTCACGGATCTCCGCAATTCCCTTTCTTGAATATTAGAATTTTTACTTGCGGAATTTTCTAAATTTCCAGCCATTATATTTTTCTTATACGTTTTATCAAAGAACCTTTGCAAGTAAAAAATTCTAATAATAAGAACGTATGAAAAATATTCAAATGGACTAGAAAATAAAGAAAAAAAAAAAACCTTTTTGTGCGAGAGTCTTCTACGAGTATGGATTTCAACTCTCAATGAAAGCACCAATTTGTGGATGCAAATTTTCTCCTCCTCGATCTTGGACGATTTTGCACCTACAAAACAACTAGCACCTTAGGTTAAGGCCAAAAGCCTCACGCGCCCACGATGAATGGGGGGGGGACTTTGGCCGAAGAACCTCCGATGCCAAAGTTAGAATTTTTAGAGAGAAATAGTGTTTAGAGTATTTGGGATTTTTTGCAAGAGGTTTAGAATGAGTGTTTGGTAAAAATGGGTGACTATTTATAGGACTAAGTTGGTCCACTTTTTCAAGAAAGCGGCCGGCCCCTTTGTGTGTTTTTTAGTGAATTTTTGTGGTTTAATTAGTCACTTTATTAGCTAATAAAATATGATAGAAATAAATGGGAAGTTACCAAATTGAATGACTAGCTTTATTTGGGTAATAAAGTGGAGGAAATCAGAAAAGGTAGGGAAAAGAAGGGAGGGAATGTGGCCGGCTACTAGGTGGGAGTTTTAGGTTTTATTTTAGGTTTAATTAGCCAATTAATTGGCTAATTAAATATGAAAGGAAATGTTTTAGTACTTTATGGTATTGATTGGCTAATAAAAGGGAAGAAATGATGGAAAAGGTAGAAAAAAGGTGATGGATTAGGTTTTGAATGGGATAGCCGGCCCTATACTATTTTTTAGGTTTGAGTGGATGTTTCAAATTGGTAATTAAGGGATGATTTTAGGAGATATGGGAAGAATATATTTGTTATTTTGATGGTGGTTTGAGAGATTGGTTTACTTTTGAAAACTTAAGTGGTTTTTAGTTTTCATTTTAAAAAAAAATTAAGCAAGATTTCAATTTTTGATTTTCAATTTTCAAAAAATAAAAACTGAAAATAAAATAGGTTATTAAACTTTTTTTTAAGTGGACATGGTTAAAACCTTAATGAAGCCTTTTTGTGAGATATATTTAAAACCAACAAAATTTCTTCTTTGTTGCAGTCCTATTAAATTAGGAATGTGATTATGTAAATCCTAGTATATCTTAGGATATCTCTTATATTCCTATTATGAGTAGATTACCTATTAAATGTTGTAATCCTAAAGGGAAAGGTTTTTACCTATCCCACTACTATAAATAAAGGCACAATGGGGTGGAATAAAACACACCCACAATTACACATCTCTCTCATTCTCTCTACCTATTGCCGCACCCCTCTCTCTAAGGCCTCTATAATTGTTCAGTAAATTATGCCTACAACACGTTATCAGCACGCTCTTGACGTTATGCTAAAGAGAATTTTATCTTCAATCAGGGGAGTATTACGTTTTAATTATTCTTTTTATGATTAATTTATTATTTTGAATTTATCTACATGCTATTGATTCAATTTAATTTTCTGTGTTGAACGTGATACAACACATTGGATATGCAATTCTAGCTTTCCGAGAAGGATCTTCAACAAATTCAAAGACTTTTGTTGTTTTCTGCCAATCAGGTACGCTTAAAATAAAGTAAGATATTTGAAACGACCTTGAAGCATGAAAACATTCACCATGATGCATGAA